TGGCAAAGTATAACCTGCCAAGGGGAGAAATTCCTCGTCAGATCCCTACATCTGGACCTTCCAGATTGTGGAAACATCTCTCTATGGTATGGTCAGAAGCGTGGAAGGCATGCAGATGGATTATAGGAAATGGAAAAAAGAGCTTTCTTCTGGCAGGACAACTGGGTGGATGACTCGGGGAAATCCCTTCTTCTTTTTGCCACCTCCCCAGTCCCACGTAGCTTGATTGACAAAAAGGTGGAGTGGTTTGCTAACTCGAATGGATCCTGGAATTGGAATCTCTTCACCCAATATTTGCCGGATGAGGCAATCGATATGATCAGAGCCATCCCGCCCCCTCAACAAGGTTTAGAAAACGATATGCCAGTTTGGAGATTTACCAGGTCTGGAAAATTCTCCACGAAGACGGCGTATTCCTTCTTAATGCAAGGGAGCTGGGAACAAGAAAATTGTGTTTGGAAACTGACTTGGAAACTAAATGGTCCAGAAAGAGTTCGAACCTTTTTATGGCTTTTGTGTAGGGCTACACTTATGACCAATGTGGAAAGAAGGAGGAGACACCTCACGGATGATGCTTCTTGTTACTAATGTGGGGGGGAGGAAACTCTCTTTCATTTGTTCAGGGATTGCATCAGCACCAAGGAAGTGTGGCGGAGCCTTAACAGTTCACTTGATACTGGCTAGCTCGAAACAAACTGGCATGAATCGATTCAGTCTAATCTCAAATCTTCTGTTTTGCAGGATGGGATCGAATGGCCAATCTGGTTTGCGGTCTCTTGCTGGAAAGTCTGGACTTCAAGGAACGATGAAGTCTTCAATGGCGAAGTATCGTTGTTGAGGAATCTAAAGTACAATATACGTGCACTAGTAAAGGAGATTATGCGATCAAGTCACATTTTTGCCCCAAAGTTTGATCGCAGACCTGCTGGACTTCAGTAGCCCCCTTGGCTCCCACCACCGACCAATACAGTTAAAATTAACACTGACGGAGCGGTCTCCAATGTGAAAAAAAGGCGGCAGTAGAGGGGGTAATCCGAGATTACCAGGGTAAATGGATCATAGGCTTCGCTGCCAATGTTGGATTTTGTAGCAGCCTCGAATCTTAATTCTGGGGCGCTTGGTTTGGCCTCTTTATTGCTTGGGATTTAGGTTTTCGTAATATTATTTTGGAAATGGACTGCCTAGAAGCAGTTCACTTTTTGACTAGCGAGCAGCATGAAATTGTAAATAGTAACATCTTTTGTAGAATTAAGGAGTTGCTAAAAGTGCAACTGGCGTGTTTCGGTCGCCCGTGCTCGCCGCCCCTAGAATAGGTTAGCGGATGAATTTGCAAAATTTGGCTTCGTTTGCCTGTATGGGACACATATTTTGCCAACTCCTCCAGTGACAGTTAGAAGTATTTTAGAAGTGGATAGGTTAGATGCTACCTCCCTGATGTGATGTATGTTCTACTCTAAGCCTTGGGCTTCCCTTTTATACAAATAATAATAATAATAATAATAATAATAATAATAATAACAAATGTTCAAAGGATGAATAACATTGTTTTACAGGATTAACGACACATATACAATTGTGTACAATTACATATTACATGATGAATAACAATACTATTAAAATGAATGACACATCTTTGCATGATAAATGGTATTTGCAGTATGACTAGCACAGATTCATAGGATGAACAACACAAATTCACATGATGAATGACGTACATTCACATCACCATATTAGATCTTTAGATGAATAATGGCACAGTAGAGGATGAACAACAATCATATTTGCATATATCTAATCCAGACCAAATGCCTAAAATAACCAGACGACATAATGAATAACATCTTAATAGATGATAAATAATCATGCTTAAGATGATAAATAATCATCAGATCTGCATAGACCTAATCCAAATCAAAATATCCACAATGCATATATTACACGATGAATAACAGATTCACAAAGGGTGAATAATCACTTTTAATAGGAAGAATAATGGATCAACATATCGTACACAATATCCATAAAACGCAAATTATGATTGTTACCTGAGATTCAACACCGGAGATATCAGAATTCTTACTCTAAATCTGTAGGCTACCGGCAAGAATAGTCGTAGAATTTGTAAATCGGATTTTTCTTCTATCTTACAGTAGATCTGAATCCATAAACCTCTGATGATTCACCAAATCAGAATTTTGTTCTTTATCACAACAGATTTGAATCCATAAATCTCTGACAATTCACTGAACGAGTTAGAACTGGTAATTCTAAATTACCAAACAGAGATTTTGAGAATTTTAAATAGGATTCACCGGATGAAATTATGTTTTCGAGAAATAGATTTCAGGAACAAATACACAAAACAGATGAATAAGATCATATGTTACCTTAATTATCGTATTCACTAGTGTTATTGCAACCAAACTCACAAGATTAGATATATAATCGGATTCCGTCTTTAAAAATACTATCGGCAAGAGGTATTGTTGCCAAATCGCCGGAGAGATGAATATTTGATTTTTCCAGATTTTTTAGTTTGAGACGATTTTGGATTGAATCGAATAGGAAGTTGGATGGAATTTTATTAAATTATGACTGAAAATTAGGAGAAATATCCAGAAACAAAGATTTGAAAATCTCTTTTTTTTTGTCTCTCCCTTTTTGGGCGCGTGTTTAATACACTAGGAACACTTAGGTGCCCTATAATTGCATATCACTCAACCTTTGATGGAATATATTAATGACAACCAACTACTTTTACTTCAATTTTAAATTTTTGTATAATCTCAACTTTTAGTTTTTTTAATACCTATGTGTACCGTAATGCGACATACGCAAAAACATCACCACATACATGCAAATCTTCATGAAATCAGCAAAATACTTTATCTCTTATATGCAAAATTGTCCAAAATTTATGGCCCGATCATGTGTGAGGCTTGGAAGCAAGCAAACCGTTGTTGTTTCTTAGACCGAAATCGCCAGAGAAGTGTTACTGAAAAATGACCAGATTTGCTCCGACTGTAGAATGCTATTGTTATCTCAACTTTTAGTTTTTTTAATACCTATGTGTACCGTAATGCGACATACGCAAAAACATCACCACATACATGCAAATCTTCATGAAATCAGAAAATACTTTATCTCTTATATGCAAAATTGTCCAAAATTTATGGCCCGATCATGTGTGAGGCTTGGAAGCAAGCGAACCGTTGTTGTTTCTTAGACCGAAATCGCCAGAGAAGTGTTATTGAAAAATGACCAGATTTGCTCCGACCGTAGAATACTATTGTTATTTCCTATAATAGTTTTGTATATGGGATTTTGTTATTTTCTATATATACCATGTATATTGTACATTATTATACAATGAAATACAACCCTTGTTATTCTAATTAAGTTGGTACAAGAGTTAAGATTTTTTTCCTCTCTTTTTCTTTCTTCGGATTCTTCCCTCTCGGCGGCCCTCCGTTCTTTTTTTCGGCCGTCGCCGGTACCAACACAAACAACAAATGGTCCCTATTATACAAAGAATACAATGATTATGTAAGAATGCCCCCTATTATTATGAGTACAATGATTAACTCCATAGAGAACTAGACTCATAAGTCGGGTGAAACATGCAAGCAAAATTTTTGTCGGAGAGAAACAATTCATGAATAAACTTACATTTGTCATTGAGAAAAATTGCATACGCTCTAAAACTAAAATAATATTTGCGTAACTTAAGTGGATTGTTATGCATTATATTTCCTACGTTCTAATAAAATATATAATATAATTATCAAACTTGTTGGAATTTAATTAAGATGTTTGCTTTATACTCACCGATACTTTTCTACTCACTCTACTCCAAAATAAGTGTCGTTCTACAACTTACACATAGTTTAAAAAATACTTAAATAGGATAGTAAAATTACTCGAATATCCTCAACCAACCAACTAAAAAAAATATTCACCAATAATACTAATTCTTTTGAAGGTAATTTTGGAAACATTGGAAAAAAAATGCATTGAAATGTCAGAATGACTCTTATTTGGGAATGTCTTTATTTTGCTAAAACGACACTTATTTTTGAACAAAGATAGTAACAAACAAGATAATTCAATAGATAGTGTACTCTATCCATCTAAATACACTTGTTCTGTTTGTGGTGAATAGTCATGAATCTTCCTCATCCTTAGAACCGTAAGAGGTCAATGAATGATCCTTCTTTTGTAGGAAAGTAAAAGTCAAGATTCCTCTTTGTAAGTGATCATTTCTACAACCACCTCAGGAAACCAAGAAATATTGTCAAGGGAGGCAACTGGCAGAAGCTATATTATAAACTAAATTGAACTTTACTGGACCGCTTAGAAGAATACACGACAGTTTAGGCGGAGCTACATACCTATGTTTTGAAAACTGGACCGGAAGGTGAACCGTCAATTTAAGTGTTTCATTGGTTTATCGGTTCAACCGGTTTAGACCGATTTCTAAAACCGATAAAAACTAGTTATAAAAAAATATTTAAAAAATAATTTATTTTTAAAATTTCAAAATTCCAATTAAACCAGTTCCGGTTCTAGGTCAAATCGTGATTTTGTCCGAGTTTGGTCGAGTTTGACCCTTTTTTAATTCTACCGGTTATTAATTCTAACAGTTCGACCGCCCAGTCCTGTCCGGTTTTCAAAAAACACAGCTACATACATGCGAGATGGGACAACTGCCCAATCTCAAAATTTCGCAATTACCCTTTGAATAATCTACTAAGCTTTCAAAGCATTGCCCCAATAAAAATTTGAATAATGGGGGCAAAGAGAAAAATCGTATAAAAATTTTTCTCTAACAGTATAAATAATTTTTTTTGCCCACGTATTAGTAAGGGCTTGGCTCCGCCTTATAATTAACAATGTATTTCAAAAAAAAAGAACAAAGAAAAACCGAACTTAAGAGCAACAACACCAACAACTTAAGCCTCTGTGGAAGTGATCATTTCTAACAACCTTTCAAGAATCATTCATGGGATGGCTTTGCAACCAAAGTTGCTCAAGCAGATCGCGAAAGCTTCGAACGCGGAGAGGGGGTATTGATAATCCATGGTGAAGATGTCCTTCCCGAATTTCCCAAACTGCAAAATTATTTTCTCTTGCTCTGCAGGCTGAGGTACATCTTTGTTCAATGTGTCAACAGCTTCAAGGAGCTGAAAATTTTTCGCAGAGGCAACCAAAACACGCCCTTTAAAGTCTAAACACCATGCCTGCGATTCCTCACGCCATCGAGGGGCCTTATTTTTAAGTACAACGGGTACCTTACCACCACCTTCTTTCATCGATGAGACAGTAATCGAGTTCATGACGCAATGGATGCGCCTTGGCCCTCTAGCACGAAAAACACTCAACTCATGGGAAATGGTTGCGACACTATTGTTCTTACATCTGTCTAAACTTTCAGGCGATTTCTTCGCATTGTATCGCCGGCTCAAATGTTGGTTATCGTAAATGGTAAATTTGTTGCCAAGAAAATTAGACCTTAAGCTTCCAACATATGTACCACTGGCTCGAGAAAAGTCATCACCGACCAAAGATATCACGAACTCCGGGCCAGTTAAAGTCCAGAACTTCTTTGCTGATAGCAAAAACTTATCGTCCGCATCCTCAGTTGGGCTGCGACCTAAATATAACCGATAGACTGAAGTAGTTGGTTCTCTTATAATGAAGCACTGGATCGGATAATTGCGAGGACCGGGATGTTTTAACGAATCAGGAAAGGTGAACCTTCCACATTCCGCCAGGGTTCTTACGGTCTCTTTAGTGGTTTCTCTCCATGATTTGCAGACCGATGCGCAGTACACGACGGCTGCCCTGTCCGGCCATGATGTTTCGGTCTCTTCGATGCTTTGAATAATGTCCTGAAGAAGGTCAGGAGGTAAGTTTGCCCACTGGCCTTGCTGGATAATTTCAGGAGATAAAACTAAATGAGCTGGGGCAATGAGAGATCTGGTTCCCTTTCTAAATATGTTCCCAAACCTTTGTTTTATCCCCATCGATTCTCGTCCGATGATAAAAATTCTGATCAGTTTGGAGTTAGTTTACCCGGAACAGTGCCTGAAATTAACACCAGCAACAACCGGCGTCCTGACAAGAAAACGGGGGCAATTCTAACATGGGGATTTCGAGGATTGAACTAATTGAAATAAGGATTTAAATAAAATTGGAACAAGCAAAACACCAAAAAAAAATAAATTATATGTGAGAAAGGATAGGATCCATGGCAAATACAATCTAACCGCTAAGCAACTCCGATCAACTGAAATAAGAAACGGTTAATTTCACTACGATCATGAAATATATGTATAAAATATGTACATTATAACATACCCTACGTTCCAAATAAACAAGATTGTAAGAACATCAACATTGTTGCTAAAATTCTATGTTCCACTAATAATCGTGCACTAGTATATACATTATATATATACATATATATATATGGAGAACTTTAATTGTACTAACTCTATCAAAAAAAAAAAATAGTATATCTCGAGTTCTAAATTTGTACTATTTATGTTTCTGACTGAGGAACTGTGATTTTGTGTCAATTATTACACAACATTCAAACGGGAGAAAGACGCTAGAAAATTAAGACCGATCCCCGGAGTATTCTATTCCAAATAAATTAATATAAGGCTAACCAAATATTTGAATTTAACAAAAAAAAATCAATTAAGGACATAAACTCCTAGCAATATTTTGAAATCAAACACATGAATAAGAGTGAAAATATCATAATAGAAGTACCTAATCGGTCATGGTTGTGAGCATGACGGCTTGAATCTTCACAACTTCAAAGCTGTTAAATTCTAGGAAAAAATAAAATGAATTTTATTCTGGAGAAGAGAGGCGAAGTCTGCGTCGTTCAAAGTCTTTTGCGTACGGTTGCCCTACTTATCGTATTCCTGAATTTTACAACTAAAAAAAAGTAAATTTCTTTCTAATTACTTTATACCAATATTTACTTATACCTTCCAAAAATAACGAAAGAGGAAATATTTTACAATCTTGATCATTAATAGAAACAGATCAACTTGTCTCGTAGAAGGAAAAAAAATAAAAGAAAAAAAGAAAGAGATAAAAAATTAGTCAGCAATGGTACTCGGAGTAAAAGTTTGTGAATGATCATTGTCTGGGCTTAGTTGTCTTGTCTCGGCCTAAAAACCCGATAAGCTAGCTAAGGAAAAGATTTGAGTAGATTTTATTTACAGTTCTCGCATTAATAATTATCTATAGTACTTAATTAAAGCAGCAAACAAAAAGGACATTTGTCAGCACTACAATGAAAATTTTCCCGTCAAAAGCCATTTTCAGTACAAAATCATTTTTGACAAGTAGCACTCTAACTAATCAGAAAAAAAAAAGATAGAATAGATAAATACATAAATCTCTTAATATTAACTACATAAAAATCTCTTAATTATAGGTATATACTAATCTTTTAAAATAAAAATATTTAATTAATAAAATCAAATGTAAGGAAATCCCCTTAAATCAAGTGAAACACAATAATGTCTTCCCAATTCCCAAATTTCAAAGAATCTCTTCCATTCCGTTCCTCTCACACCCGGGCCTTTAAGTCAATTACTTAAAATCTGACATCAATTATCAATCCATCTCTTTCTACAACAGAGACAAAATAAGCTGTCATGAAAGAAATTTGATTTTTTTAGGATGATTTTTTTTTATTCTTCTGTTGTAGATATTGGTTTATGATTTATGTAAACCCAAGCATAAGTTAACTGTTGTAAATTAAATGTTATAAATTTGAGCGTAGATTTATGTATAATAACTCACTTTCTGTCCTTTCAATCGATTTTTTATTCTTCTATTTTTTTTTTATTCTTTTAAGAATGATTCGTATTTTTTATTTAATCGATTTAAAAATACAGGCGGCACCCCGAGCATTCGCCCGAAGCAAGCATCTAGTTTATGTTATTATGAGTATAATGTCAAAATTTTAAAATTACACATATATTCAATTTTTTCCCCACATGATCAAAATATTAGAAATTTAGAATATAATTTCAACAAGAGTATAGAAATAATTGAGACTTATGGATCAAATTTAAAATTTGCGGTCTAAAATAACAACAAAAATAAAGATAAGAGCCAAAATGTAACAAGATTACAAAAAACTGGGGCGCAATAAAAAAAAAAATCCCAAAAAGAGGGAAAATGACAAAAACCAAAATCAAGCGGTTCTGTCTGCTACCCAATCCAAATGCGACTTTGATATATCTTTAATATATTAAATGAAAGTTTTCAGTCGGACACATAGCGCGATATTAAATAAGCTAATTCACATGGCGTGAAATTAGACACCCAAACCCACATGTCGCACCCATATCAATCTTTCATTTATTGATAATTTTTTATTCGTAAATACGTAAAAACTAAAAATAAGAGTAAAATAATTGGATTAATTGTTCGGCCGGTAAATAACTTCAATCTTCCCTCAAATTTCGGCATATACTTGAGTTAGGTCGTCATGGATTACTTAATATTTCAATTTCCTTCCCAAGTTTTTTGTAATGCATCTCATGTTTAAGTAACAGGCAACTGATATGAGATGGCACGCACATTTTGTCAAATACAAAAACCACAGATTGGGTGAAGTATTTTCCTGCGGGAAGAACGATATTGCAACAATTGATGAATTCTTTCCCACCTTCAAAATTTGAATTGCCAACCAATAATTAAATTATCGATTTCGTGATAATAATAATTCTTTATTTGATGAAATTATTCTTCACACATGTGAAAAGAAAAAAAAAATCAGATTAGTAGAACCAAGTTTAATTTGTAAATACAAGATATATCAACAAGGGAAACTGTGCTAAACAGATGATCTGTCAACAATATGTGTCTTCACCTTTAGTACCAAGTTTTCTTTGTCATTAACCGCAGAAAAAAGCAATGAGAAATTTATTAACAGGCCGGACAATCAATCCACCGAGTAAACATAGTTTTAATCGAGATAAGCACTTTTATAGGCATTTTGGGGCTTTGGGCTAGAGGATTGGCACCAGATGCGTATGTTCTTAGCAAATTTGTCAATTATACTACCAAAATAATCATTTCGAAACTATATCTTGGAATTGGAATAATGAATTAATAACAAAATTTCTTCTAATGTATTTTTTTTTAACTCAAAACAATCACCTACCTCTAAATTTTAGTTACATTTTTTTTAATTATTTTAATCAATCTTGACTTTATCGCTACAAAAAAACAAGTGATTACACACAAAAAAAGCATAGTCGTGGTAATTCGTAGTTATTTAGCCACGAATTAACCACAAATTACTCACGAACGCTTGACCAATCTTAATTTTTTTTATTTATAATTTAGCCACAACATTAGCCACAAAATATCCATGTCTAAAATAACATCGTGGTTAAGGCGTGGTTAATATTTTTCCTCCAATAAATTTGCCACGGTTTTGTTCGTGTCTAATGGGTTGTATGTAAATCAATAGGCATTATTATAATTAATCACGAAAAAAGTCAATAAAACCATGTGTATATCCATTGACCAATGTTGACCGAGCACAAATTCAACATTAGACACGACCGAGATGTTGTGGTTAAGTATCCCGTGTGAGAATCCGTGGCTAATTTTTGAATTAACCACGAATACGAGGAGAAAAAGCTGTGTGTAAATACCATTAACCAATGTTGACCGAGTACAAATTAACTTTAGACACGGTCTAGCTGTTGTGGTTAATTTTGTCGTGTGTAAATTCGTGGCTAATATTTGAATTAACAATAAATTCACCACAAATACTTTAATTTTATCATGGTATAATATTAAGGAGGTAAAATGTATGTACTTTTTTTTAAATAAGGTAAAATGTAAGTAATATATAGTGTTTTAACCACGGTTTGTATCCGTAGATAATATCGTTAATTTTAACTTAAAAAAGTAATAGTTTGTATATATATATATATGTTTAATAATATATCAACAAAAAACAAAGACAATCATATTTATATTTTTAGTTTAAAGTTTTCGTGCATGTAAAATTTAATTTGTACATGAATAATATATATTGGCATACTTAATTAAGACAATGAATGTGTCGAAACAACATTAGTATAGTTATAAATTCCTATGTTCAAAGATGAGGGTAATTATCAAATAGACGTCCGAAACAATATATAATAATAAGTTAGGACAAGTTAGACATCTGAAATGAGTCCAACTCACAAACTCGATCGTATCATATTTCTTAATGGGCGTACAAATGTGAAGTATAATATCGATAAACTACTGTAAATTGATTAAAGATTAATTAGACTATATTTGATAAGATTTGTAAGCCAATCGTGTAAAAAATATTTAACCTAATAAGTATAAGTTTCATTTTTATTATCAAACGTACTTTGTATATGATATAAACATTAGTGATTTTCAATTTATCATACATTATTGTCTAGTAAGTGTCAAAATGTCTCAAACCTTGCATAATTTTTAGGGTGCCATTGCATAATATTGAGGATGATATGGATAAAATTCTTTTATTTTATTCATAGAAAAAAATGCTTGCTACTTGTTCCGCTTTTAGGGGAAAAAATGGCGGTATAATATTTCACCAAAAATTTTCAGCGCCTTATTATTCCCGCTCCGCTTTTGGGCAGGCAAAAATTACTTTACTCTTTTAACAAAAACAACTATAGGCAAATCGTAAAAAGCAACTTTCCCAAATTTTCGTCCTCCAAAACCTCTACCCCCAAATCGGTCGATACCACCTAAATCGCCGGCATGCAGGCTTAATCGGCCATGCTCCCACCGTCTTCGAATGCCGGCGGTCACCCATCTCTCAGATTTGTACATGCTTAATCTTTAAGATCTGCACAGCCATTAGAAACCCCAATTGGAGCGGGCTTAATTTCGTGATATAAAAGAGCTACTTTCCCTCTCTCTATTCTTCCAATTCCCTCGTCCATTATCAGATTTTTTCCAAAGCAGCCTCTCTTCATCTGCTGCATCAATTCCTTATACCCAATAGCAAGAACTCTATAAATCCGTCCATGCCCTTCAAGCCTATTTCAGATCTGCTCTTTGTCTAAGCCTGAGTTACAAGCTTATAGCAGATCTGCTATTCGTCTAATTCCCTCTCCCCACCCCCCATTTTCTTCAACCTTAATTTCCCCCCTACACAGTGGTCGCGCCTCGGTCCCGATTCCTCCTCTGTTCGCCGGCTTCCTCTCTCCATAGTTGATAACTTAATTAAGAACCCTTTGTGTTCACATACTTTCTCCTAGACTAATAATATTGGCGAGATTTAGCTTTCAATCTTCGACTGAAGAGGGATTTTGGAGTTCAATGGAGTCTTCACGCCGCTCTGAGATTCAAAGCCATCGGCCGATACGAATTGCACAACCGACAACCCCTTCTTGGTACATCTTCTAGATTCAATTGGTTTTTGGTAGCTTTTGAGTTTGGTTTGTTTGGTTTTGGTCTTTCTTTTTGAAAATTTCTTTCCTTTTTTTGTTTGTTTTTTACAAGGCTATGCTCGGAGGGATTTCGAAGAGTGTATTTAAAGTTCAGTTGAGTACTTAGGAAATAATGGAAGCTGTTCGATTGGTCTTCAATTATTTCGGAGACAGTAAGAATTACTTCTTGTTCGTTATATTGTCAGATGAGGGAACCTCAGGTTAGCAGCATTCATCTTGTGTTGTTTAATTGATTGACTGCTATCTTCTTAAAGCTGGTTGCCCGAACTAATATTTTGACGATTACTTTGGTTTAGTTTGTGATTAGTATAGGTCTTTTTGTTTCGGTTCTTTTGTAATCATTTTTGCCTCTCTGGTTTGATGCAGAAGTTTAAGAGCATTAGCACAACTCAAAGACATATTGTTAGTGTACTATCTTTCACCGTTTATCTTTTGCATTTTTTGACATACTTGACTTTATTATTATTGTTTTTTTACATATTGCTTTGTTTGTATGAATATATAGTGCCAGGGTTTTGGCAATCAATCATTTTGAATTGCTAATTCCTTCCACTCTACCTCAGATTCCTTACTTGTAAGTTCTGTAATTTCTTAAAGATATGCTGGTTGTTAATAATAAAGATAAAAGTGCATAAAAACAAAAATTGCTAAAAACGAAAATAGAAAATTTTTATTGTACTGCTTCAGAACGAAAGATTACTGAAAATGGATTGTATTTATGTAGTACGTAAGCACTTGATACTCATTAACAACTGTACAAGCAGATTATAGCACAAGTTCCAAGTAGAAGAATTAAGAGATGAAAAAGTTTGTGGACAAGCTCGGGAAGGTGTGACAGCTTTACTTCAACAAAAAATGGGACAAGAATAGATTAAAGCTGAAGCTCAGGTTTGTTAAGTTCATGTTGTAGGATCTGAAATTGCTAGACCTTTCTATCTCAAGTATAACATAGCTAATGTTTAACTATTGTTCTCTAAGGTTATTTTAACTTATGTTCTTGAATTTACTCTCGCCAGTTTCCTCCCCCTGCTACTTTTGTCTTAAATTGCATTCACATATTATTAATTAAAGTTTGAGTGCTAAGTATTTTCAGCGGGTGATTTTATTTGTTATACTTATTGGTTTTTCTTGAAGCAGCTTATTTTCCTCTTCCCTTCAGGGAGAGCATCAATCAAATGTTCTTTATTAGTTGATTACAGTTTTGTCCCAATGCCTCATTGTTTTTCACCTTTATGGTTTCGGCATGACTGAAGACATTGTTTCATGTAGTATTTCCCTTTGTAGCAGCTAAGTTAAGATTTGTTCATGGTCCATTTTATGGCTAAAGAGAAACACTTGCTCACATATGAATTCTCGTACCATGAGAGGATTTTTTTTTTTGATTCCAAATGTTTGGATTTTAGTTATTAATTTGAGTTTTGCTTGTCGCTGCAATGCAGCTTGTATGGCCAGGGGTTTGAATCTTCATGTCCATTTTTAAGATACCTTATCTATTTTTCTAATAGCTGCATTCATTTATCTTTGAATTTCTGTGTATAAGAACCTGCTGAACTGCTGTTTCCGAGATTTGTCTCTCCTAATCCTTGAGCTAATTTATGCAATTTCTAAATATATTGTAACAATGTGGGAATCATTAGACATATTATGTAGGTAAAAACTAAATAAAAGTGGTGAAAACACTTAAGCAGAGGTTTTGTAGACAGCACTGCTTCAGTCTGGTAATATGATGATAACCCCTGTAGAAAACTTGAAATTGATCAGCACTTGTTGCATATTAAACTAGACGCGTAGAGGTTTCTAATGGTATGAATATCAATGGCTAATTTGTCCCAAATATGTACAGTTTATTCTTTAAAGTTGGCCTAAAAAGCTGTTTCAGTAGTTTCCAACATTGTGCTAAATGTTTCATGTCTTAGTGTACTTAGCATTGTGCTAACTGTTTCATGTCTGAGTGTACTTAGCAATGTGAATGGGTGTCCTATATCTTTTTAATGGCATATCACTTGGCATTGAGTTAGTATGAGTCAGCTAATTACTTCCAAGTGCCTATGGTTAATTGCAATAACGTTATGGACGGTCATTTTTCTCTTTTAAGTCGTAACTATAGGATATTGTATATACTCTGTTTCCTTGATACTTAAATTTTCTTTTAGGTAGAATATGAAGGTGATTCCTATATGAATGATCATGAGCTTCCTGGAAATAAAGCAGGCATGATAGAATCAAGAAAGGTGCCTAGAGATGCAAGTATTGTTTTCTATGTTTATATTGAATACTCAATGAGGTTTCTCTAAGCCTTATAATTTGTAAAACAGATCTCTATTTTCTTTTCAAACTTAATTTGAATATGATATCAGTTGCTGAAAATGTAATATTTGCTCCTGTTTTAGAAGATTTATTTCTAATATTCCTTGAATTTCTTTATGAGATTCATTTCGATAAATCTTTCTATGATCAAATTAGTATATTTCAGTTTTCAGGTAGTGTCAAACAAAACTGATGATGTGCTCTGGTGGGGAGACAAGAAGATTTCTGGTGCATTTGTTCAAGGAGCAGCATCAGGTAGGATTGGCAATGACCCTGCTGGTTCTTCTAGCTTGTTATATAAGAAGTTAGGGTGATACACAAGAATGGGGAATTGCTGAATTTTGTTTAGCAACATAGTATATGTACATAGCCTTACGGTTTTATCAAACTCTATAAGATTATGTATTTTGTTGGTTCTTTTACCAAATGCTAGTGATTTTGAGAGATGTCCATTGAGTGATGATGATGGCCATACTCTTCCATGATTGTTTTCAATCATATTTTGAGATTGATTCTAGTTCATGGTCATATTTTGGGTCTTTTGAATCAATCTAGTTGATGAATTACATGTTCGGATGATGTATAAAGTTTATCTAGTAGAAGATGTAACTTGGATGATTTTATTTTGGTTAATGTTCGTCCGGTATGTATTTTGGTTGGCATTGTAACTTATACTACTTGGATCCAAGTAGTTATTAAGTTTATGGTGGTTTAGAAGGATGATTATGCTTATTATATCAAATTTAGCAGTGATTTGTGTGATTTTGGGAAATAATACAATCAAGAATTATCCACAAATAATTTTGTGGCTAATATGTTATTCGAATTAGTCACAACTTGCTACGAAGGTAATCTCTTTAATATGCTTTGCAAATTACGCACAAATAATGTCGTAGCCAATATCTTCCACATTAGTTGTGGTTAACTTACACTAGATTTTATTATATTTATCCCTGACATAGTCACGGCTAAGGATTTTTCATTGCGGTACCTTATAGTTCTTAATAACCACGGATGTAGCCATGATCAAACAGTAAAAATGTTTGCCACGAAATTTGTTCTTACTTAAATAGCCACGGAATTAGAAATGACATTTCGTGGATGAGTTAAAGTTTTGACACATTCTATAAATAATATTATCCACAGAAGTTACACAGAAATGTTTGTGGCTAATATAACCACGGACCGTTGACTTTTGTGGATAACAATTTACCCACCAGAGAATTAGTCCCGTTTTGCAAGTTGTGGCTAAAATCGTGATTAAACCGGTTATCCACAGATTCCAAAGTAAATTTACCCACGATTTGTACTGTGTGTAATTAGTGATTTTTTTCTATTGTATGAAGTTGGAGTTTTTTCAAGAGAATATTTTTTTTTTAGGAAATCAGACTATTTTTCCGAGATAAAGAAAATACATTTCTATACTACTAGAAAATTACATATTTATAGTTGAAGCGCTGTTCGCAAATAGGCAATACTTGTTCTTCCAAACCTGCGCATGCCTTTCAACTCTTAGAGTGAGGGAATGGTGTCTTGGTCCGATGGTAAGACTTTTAGTGGATCACTTAGATCTCTAGTGATTCATTTCCATCTAAATTATGTAAATAGAGTTTTCCGACATTTAAATAGGGTTTATTGATATGAATTTTTTTTTAAAAAAATAAAAAAATAAAAAAACTCATAAGAGTGATTATAATGTATCATGCACTGTGTAAGTACGTTGAATTCAAGGGCCAACTTGGCTAGCCAACTTGGCTAAGGGGCCCTTGTAACAGATTATAGATGGGGTTTGAGAGGTCCTCCTTCAACTGCTCACTATTTCCATTCACGTCATATTTCTAGTCCCCCTCCCATAAAGATCAATGTACTATATCAACCATCGGAAATTACTGAGGACGATTAGACTTTTGAGTGCTTACAAGAAAATGATGCTATGATAGAGATCGGGAAACAGTACATTTTACGTTTAAAAATCAGTACAATAGTTGATAGATCTTTTTTATGCATTGATTAATTTTTCAAAACACATTAACTGACGACCAAGCCGAGAGACAAAGTAGCCGTCATAAGTTTATATAACAATCCAAACAGGGCGAAGAACATATGGAGACTATCTCCATAAAATGCCAAAGACGATGATAATATATATCTATAGACTATAAGCTGGTTAAAGAGACAACTCTGTGCCTGACTTTCAGAGCAAGGAAAGTTTTGTAGCTTTTGATAGTCATGGAAATGTCGATTTTTCGATTGATCAATGAAGAAATGACCTTCTCTATTCTTCTTTCAACAATCTTTATTTTTAGTTTCTTCTTTCTTGTAAGATGGCTTGAACCTAGCACGAAAAACCTCCCACCTTCACCACCAAAACTACCCCTAATCGGAAACCTTCATCAACTTGGTCACCTTCCTTATCGATCACTTAAAACATTAGCTGAAAAGTATGGTCCAATAATGCTCCTGCACTTAGGCAGCAAACCCACGCTCATCATTTCGTCTCCTGAAATGGCGGAATCCGTACTCAAAACACATGATCTCAATTTTTCAAGCCGGCCCGAACCGAATTTTGTTCGAAAAATCACGTATAACTATCAGGACATCCTTTTCGCGCCGTATGGAGAATATTGGAGGCAAGCGAGAAGCATATGTGTTCATCAACTTCTAAGCAACAAGCGAGTCCAATCATTCAGAAGCATACGTGAAGAAGAGGTCGCGTCGGTGCTGGAAAATATAACAGAATCTTGCTCGTCGCGTTCTCCGGTAAACGTGACCGACATATTGACTATGCTCACTTACAACATAATGTCTCGGGTAGCCATCGGCCGGAGACTCTCCGGGAATAAAGTTGGGAATAAGTTTAAGAAATTATCCGACGAATTTTTAGAGATTATCGGATGTTTTGATGTTTCCGATTACATCCCGTGGCTTTGGTGGATTAATAAGCTTAATGGTTTGGAGGGAAAAGTGGATAGGGTTGCAAAAGAGTTCGATGAATATATCGAAACTATTATTGAACAAGCAGAGAAGAAAAGGGAGGAAAACTTTATCAATGATGATCATCAACAAAGGATGCATAATTTCATTGATGTTTTGCTGGACTTCCAGGAGAAAAATGATACTGGATTTGTTCTTCAACGTGATGCAATCAAAGCAATCATTATTGTAAGTATCAATTTCACAATAATTTTTTAACACTTCTTTTGAGGATGAAGTACTAGTTTTTGGTATTTAACTTTTCAAGAAAATTGGTTTATTTGTAGGATATGTTTATTGCTGGAACTGATACTATATCGACACTTGTAGAGTCAGCAATACTTGAACTTCTAAAAAGCAAAAGTGCCATGACTAGATTGAAAAATGAGGTAAGAGGATTGCGAGATTCAAAATCGAATCGCATAACAGAAGATGATTTAGAAAATCTCCCTTATTTGGCCGCAGTTATTAAAGAGACTTGTCGTCTGCATCCTCCAGCTCCAATGCTACCACCTAGGAAATCAAAAGACTCTATTAACATCATGGGGTATGACATTCCTGCTGGCACCCAGGTGTTCATCAACGTTTTCGCCATTGGTATGGACTCTTCAGTTTGGGAAAATGTCGATAAATTTCAGCCAGAGAGGTTCTTGGACAGCTCTATTGACCTTAAAGGGAAACATTTTGAACTGATCCCGTTTGGTTCTGGAAGGAGAAGTTGTCCCGGAACAGTATTTGGTTTAATCACAACACAACTTACACTAGCAAACTTAATCCTCGATTTCAATTTTGCAATTCCGAGTGGCGCAAGATTGGTGGATGTTGAAATGAGTGAAGTTCGCAGTTTAACTATTAGAAGGAAGATGGCTTTGATTCTGGAGGCGAGTCTAGCTAATTAGTTATGGATCTTCAAGTTAATAGTCAATATCATAGTCTAAACAGAACGAATTCTGTAATCACGATTTCAAAATTTGTACATATATACTGTATGTCTTCTAAGTAATTGTAACCATAATATTTCTTATTAGATGTCTTTGGCTTAATTGTAAACCTCCATTGTAATGTGTTTAACAAGATGTTCTTAACTTTATGACACTGAGAAGCAGAAGAACACAACAATTTATTAATGCTAAAAAATCTGCCTCATAGTACGTAACGTGAACATGATGGATTCTTCCGGATGATTAGTCAATTTTTTTGAGCTGTTGATGATGAAGACCCCATCCCCAAATGTCTTTTTGAGCTGTTGATGATGAAGACCCCATCCCCAAATGTCTTTCGCCATCAGATGAATATCAGTATCTTTTGTTTTACTTCACCACTTAACAATGGCTTCAAAGAAATAAATACATAGTTCACCAATCATTGTTATCTACTACACACATTTGCTCCATGTAAAAAAGAAAAAAAAAATTTAAAATTGTTCACAATGCGAAACAATATATTAGGTTTGATTTAACAACACCAACAAAATTATGAGGTTTACCTTGATCAAATAGATTTTCCTCATTTCAGAACAACATGATCTTACCCATTCAAACTGTTTAACTTTTATATTAATTCTTGTTTGTCAAGAGGGATTAAATAGAGTTGATAGGTCATTTGTGGTATGATCATTTGCCATGTTTGAGCTAGTTTATACATTGTCCTATTTATGTACCTTTCATAATATTATGCATCACGATATATCCGCAGAGTCCGTCATGATATATTTTTCTTAATTAAAAAAAAAGGAAAAGAAAATGAAGAACAACAGTATGGGAATGTAAATGCAAAGGAACTCTAAATCAATCCATTGGTATCTGGCGTGCTACAATTTACGCTAGCATCAGCGAATAAACCTAGTAGAATTTTTGTGGAAGTAGGTTTTAGAAGAAGAAAACATTGTGTCTATTACGATGCAGGCTTTAGCCTTATATACAACGAATTAGGGTTTCCCAGAACTTTCGGGAATACAAAGTACAATGACACATTTAACCCTAATTACATATATTCTAACACCCCCCTCAAGTTGTAGCATGCAAGTTCCGAATGCCCAACTTGGACAAAAGAAAACTAAAGGATCGTTGACCCAATGCTTTAGTAAAGATGTCTGCCAATTGGTTTTGAGAAGACACGTAACTAGGAGCAATAACACCTTGAACAAAAGCATCGGGAAGAAAGTGACAATCCACCTCAATATGTTTAGTACGCTCATGGAAAACAGGATTAGCCACAAGATGTAAGGCAGATTGACTATCAGAATAAAGACGCATAGGACAAGAATGTCCCACACCAAGACTATGCAAAAGAGCTTTTAACCACTTCAACTCACAAACAGTATTTGCCATGGCACGGTACTCAGCTTCAATGGAAGAACGAGACACAATAGGTTGTTTCTTAGTGCGCCAAGAGATGGGTGAATGACCAAGTGTAATGAACCAGCCAGTCAGAGAACGCCGAGAGAGGGGACAACTAGCCCAACCGGAATCACACCAACTATACAGCTGAAGGTCACTATCGGCACGAAGTAAAATGCCTTGACCAGGGTTGGACTTCAAATAACGAACTACGCGAAGAGCCGCTTCCCAATGAGCTTGGCGAGGACTCTCATAAACTGAGCCAACATATGCACACTATAAGAAAGATCAGGACGAGTAACAGCCAAGTAAATTAATCGTCCAATTAAACGCCGGTAACGTTCTGGATCAGAGAAGAGAGGTCCTTCATCAAGCGGAAGATGGTGATTTTGTTCCATCGGAAACGCAGCAGGTTTAGCACCCAACAAGCCAACCTCGGAAAGAATGTCCAACGCATATTTCCGTTGACAAAGAAAAATACCAGAAGGACTGCGAGCCACCTCAAGACCAAAGAAATACTTCAGGACTCCAAGATCCTTCATATGAAAACAACTGCGTAAATAGGTTTTAAAAACTAAAATAGCAGCATGATCATTTCCGCCAATAACAAGATCATCAACATACACTAGAATACACAAACGGACTGAGCCTCAATGATAAGTAAACAGGGAATAGTCGGCAGAGGACTGAACAAAACCATACAACTTCAAGGCTCGAGCCAATTTGGCAAACCAACAACGAGGGGCTTGCTTAAGGCCATATAAAGACCGACGAAGACGACAGACTTGACCCGGAGCATTAGAGGAAAAACCAGGAGGAAGCTTCACATATACCTCTTCAATGAGATCACCATGGAGGAAAGCATTATGCATATCCATTTGATGCAATTCCCAATTTTTGGCTGCAACAACGGCCAAAAACATACGCACCGTGACCATTTTAGCAACTGGTGCAAATGACTCATGATAATTGATGCCTTCCACCTGATTGTTGCTAAGAATCACTAAATGGGCTTTGTTTCGCTCAATCGTACCATCCGCACGATACTTGATTTTGTAGATCCACTTACAACCAATGGCCCGTTTACCAGAGGGAAGAGCTGTAAGCTCCCAAGTATGATTATTTTCCAAGGCACGAATTTCATTAGACATAGCAGAACGCCACTTGGCATCCTGCATAGCTTCACAAAATGTAGTAGGCTTAATTCCTGCGGTAACAGCTGCCAAGAAAGCTCTATGACGGGGTGAGAAAGAATTACAGTTTACAAAATGTGTTATGGAATAGAGACTACCTGAGGACGAGGATGGAGTGGGGGTGACAGAAGGGGGGGACAGGACTCACAGTATGGCGAGCAAAGTCACGGAGCCGAGTAGAAGGAAACTTAGTACGAAACCTGCGGCCCAAAGGTTCAGGAGGTGCAGAGAAACAGACTTGTGTATAGCAGGTGACACAGGAGGAGATTCGGGCAATGTATCATTAAGAGGTACAACCGAAGAAGATTCAGCAACCTCAGGTGTGACATTAGAGGCAACATGAGGATCAACCGAAACAATACTGACATCATCATCATCATCATCAAGAAATGTAGTAGGGCCCGTTTGAAGAAAACCACGAGAAGACTCCTCAGAAGAAACAAGCGTAGCAAAGGGAAATTCATGCTCAACAAAAACAACATCACGAGAAGCCTGAAATTTTCTAAGTTCAAGATCATAAACTAGCCACCCTTTCGCCAACCGGATAACCAACAAACACACATTTACAACTACGAGATGCAAACTTATCACCCCCCTGGCTTGGTTATGAACATATCATAAACACCCAAAGACACGCAAATGTTGTAGAGAAGGTGTTTTACCATACACAAGTTCAAAAGGAGATTTGCCATGCAATACAGACGAAGGAGTTCGGTTAATTAAATGACCAGCAGTCAATACACAATTGCCCCAAAACTCAATAGGAAGATTGGCTTGAAACATGAGAGCCCGAGCAACATTAAGAATGTGACGATGTTTGCATTCAACACGTCCGTTTTGTTGGGGAATGCCAATACAAGAGGTTTCATGCACAATTCCATGTTGACGAAAATAAGAACCCATACACATAAATTCAGACCCATTATCAATTCGGACAACTTTTATTGTTTTACCAAATTGTTGATGCACCATAGCGAAAAATTCACATAACCGAACAGATACATTCCTCTTATCCTCAAGCAGATAAATCCAAGTGCTACGAGAAAAATCATCCAAGATAGTCAAAAAATATTTGGCACCATAAAAAGCAGGAACACGGTACGGCCCCCATAAATCACAGTTTATCAAAGAAAATAACTCAGTACTGGTACTATTGCTAAGAAAAAAACTAGCTCTTGATTGTTTTGCGCGGAAACACACATCGCACGATTTATTCAAAACAAAACTACTCTTAGAATCAACAAGAGACAACTGCTGAAGAACCTTCGGAGAAGGATGCCCTAACCGCTGGTGCCACAATTGAGAGGAATCAGCAACCGGAGCACGAACAACACTTGCAACAGCTGGCCCTCAGAAGAAATAGAGTCCCCCCAACTGTTCACCCGCTCCAATCAGCGTCCTCATTGTGCGGTCCTGAATAACACAAAACTTGTTAGTAAACTGAGCTACACAACTCAAATCCTCCAACAAATGATAGAGAGAAATTAAACTGCATTATAAATTAGGAACATAGAGAATGTTGTCCAACACCACAGAGGCACTCAAATGAGCCCGACCAGCTTTAGAGGCATACGTCACAGTACCATCAGGCAAGTGAACCGGACGAGCCGAAATATCCCGCAAGTCCACCAAAAAATGTACAAACCCCGTCATATGATGGGAAGCACCACAATCATACATCCATGTACTAGAAAAATTCTTACCAGAGAGAGGGTCACCAGACTTATTTTTATTAAGTAACGAAATGAGAGTTTGCCACTGGGCTGGAGAAAGGCCAGTTATAGCCGCCTTATCTCCATCAGAAAGAGCAGCACCCGCAAAATTATTCCCAGGTACAACAGCGGCATTGGTGGGGGGAGCTCCGCGTCCAGCTATGTTGCCGCGACCAGCAGTAGAAGGATTGACCCCAGCAGCCACGCCATGACCTGAAGAAAAGCCGCGTCCAGCAGAGCCGTGACCGCGTCCCGTTCCCCACCATTCGGGATAGCCGATCAGATCAAAGCAACTGGCTGCTTCATGACCAGGTTTATGGCAATGATTACACATTAGAAAGGCTTTTCAGCAGCTGAGCCTCGGTTGGCGACGGACTGAACCAGGTTGAGCAGCGAACGAGAAGATGGACGAGAACCAGCTTGAACAGCAAAACTGAGTACTTCACCAACTGGTTCGCCAGAAACATGAGCCCGCAATCTTTCTTCTTGCATAAGCAGAGCATAGGCACAATTAACTGATGGAAGGGGATCAAGAGACAGAATGTTGGACCGTACAAAGGCCGTAAACGGATGCGTCTAATCCCATAAGAAGTTGATGGAGTTTTTCTGTTTCCCGGTGACGATCAGAAGCAGCAATGAACTCAGCTGAGCCACAAGAACATTCCAGTGGAGGCTCATAATGTGCAAGATCCTCCCATAATTGCTGTAATTTACCATAGTAGGAAGCCATGCTGAATCCTTTTTGCTTACAATTGGCCAATTCCGTCTTGAGCTGCTGGATTTTTGGGCCATTAACAACCCCAAATCATTCAGCAAGATCATTCCAGAGAATGGATACAACTTCACGATGTGGAATGGTGGACCGAAGCGATGGATCAATGGAATTCAACAACCAAGCAACCAGAAGCGAGTTGTTGGTCCACAAGTCCTCAAGATCAGGATCATTCGCCAATGGTGAGGAATAGACCCGTCGACAAAACCAAACTTCTTGCTGGGCGAAGAGAGACGGATAGACCGCACCCATTCATTGTAATT